TCAAATTGAAGCACAAAAGTCAAGTAAACACCTCTTAAGTTAACCCATGAAGAAAATAAATGATCATGTGAAGCATATGAGATAAAGTGGTCATATAATGAACCTTCATACATGAAAATTATAACCTCAAACATGTCAACTAAAGCATATAAAAATCATCAAACATCCATTGAATCATCCAAGAAACAAACTCCAAAGACTAGGTCAAGTCATCCACAAAACACGGTCAAAGTAACAACAACTTGATGCACCATCAAAAAATAGAAATAATAGTAAATAAAATCCAAATAAATGTTCAAACTCATTTCACATGTGTTATGAATCATATGGAAAAACATCAAAGCAAGAGTGGCAATAGAGCATCATCAAATGCATCAAACAAGGAAAAGCAAGCAACTAATCGGGCAAGAATCGAGGGTCAAATAAAACTAAATGAAAATCAAGCAAAAGGTGATCATCAAAGCATCTAACCAGAACTAAAGCATAGCTCAATAATGTGTCTAAGTGTGTGCAAAATATTGAGTCAAAAGTCAATTGGAAATGGTAAGAATTGAAGTCGTGTTTCAAACTAGGTCAAACAAAACACACTACACCATTAATTCAAAATAAAATATTAAAATAAAATGAAAATGAAAATTTAAAAAATTGAAAAATGAGTTAAGACATTAAAGTGTCTAAAAAGTATTTTTTGGTATTTTTTAAAAACATTTAACAATTAGAAATAAAATCAAAGTTGGAAAAGAAATAAAAGAATTAAAATGAAAAAAAGCAAACAAAGAGGGGTGTGAATTAGAAAACAGAATAACAAAGGAAACAGTTCAAATGTGAATTGGGCTGAAAAAATGGGGGGGGGGGGGGGGGGGGGGTTCAGGAAGCAAAAGGGCCAGGCCCGTGATCAACTCAATAATAAAAAACAAAACACAAGGTGCTACACACCGTTTCACTAATGCTCGTTGGCATGAGATACACATCACGCGCACCTGGACGACTCGCATGAGACACACAAGTAGTAAGCCTGAGTCAACATGGCCACATCATCTCAAATGACCAGACGCCAGAGCCTTAGCTCCGGTCGTCTTCTCTGGTGACCCTCACTAGAGCTGACTGAAAATCAAACCAAAACTCAATGAATCTGATACTAATCTTTAGGATTATTTATGCTGAACACGAATATCACTTCCAAAATCATTAATATCAACTCTAACATGGTGAAAACAAGCCACGAAGGAAAAACATACATTCTAAAACTTCAAAAAGCAAGAACAACAAGCATACAATAATAATCTGCATCCACCAAGAAGTTCAAACATATGATCAACAAAGCAAATGGACGTGCATCATGAGAGAAAAAGGAAAAAGAACAAATACCCCAAAAACACAATCCCGGAGCTCTTGAGTTTGTTTTGAGCTTCAACCACACTTCCCCTTGTAACTCCTCAAGCCTTATAGGTCGTGATAGAAACAGGAATGGAGAGAAAATTCCCTTGGAGAGTAGGATTCGAAGAAAGAAAAAAATTTGAGAGCGAGAGTTCTTTTTGCTCAGATTCTGTTTCAAATGATGTATGCACCTTTCATTAGGGTTTATAGCTTATATATGAGGGTTTTGGAAGGTGAAAAACAAGAGTAATTGTGGTTAATGGCTTGTGGTAACAAATTTGCCAAAATTTGAAAGTTGGAGGTGGCATGTGAAAAATGGTACGAGCTACCTCCTTATGAGGTTTGTTGTGGCTACATCCTTTGTCATTTTGTGGGTGCAAAAGTCAGAATGGGAGTGGAAACATCCCTGCTATGTAAGTTTTTGCAAACTTTCCTTGTTTTGGCAAAAGTGTAGCAAATGGCACAATATGTTAATATGCAATGCTTAGTCACTTTGGGCAAAGTTTGATGACACCAAAAGATTGTGTTATGCGTGTGAATTTGAGGCTAGGTCATGTTGCTACCTTGGCTCATGTCTGTGCACAAAATAGAAAGACATAATGCATGAGAAAAATCTCCTCATGGCTATCTTTAAACCACCATAACTCCATGAATATTTCCCCAATTGGTGATTTATTTAGCTCAATGAAAAGTAGGGAGACTAAGGAAAAAATTTTATGCTGTAAAGAAGATGAAACAAACCTTGGATCATTGAGAAAAAGGTAGTGGAAGTTGGGTGCACAAAACTGTCCCAAGTAACTTAGAAATTTTCTAAGTTATTGAACTTTGGCAACTTTGGAACCTTGACTTTGAAGCTACATATCTTGCTGATTTTTGATCCAATGGAGATGACCTAGTAATGGATAGAAATCTTGAAGAATGACCTTCAACTTTCTTGTTGTGGGAAAATTCATTTGAGGTCAAAAACTTAGTGAAAAATGCCTTAGAATTTTGGTCCAAAAATCTGCCTAGCAACTTGCCAACTTGACATCTTTGAAACCCCAACTTGGGAGCATCATAACTTAAGCTCTACACATCCAATGGAGATGAACTAGTACTCAAAAGAAAGCTTGGATGATGCTATAAAAATCTTATATTGTAGGAAAATTCAATTGAAGCTTGTATCACCATGAAACGTGGGCTTGAAAGTAGGTACTTCAAATTGATTTTCTATACTTAGAAAAATTCTAAGTGTTGAAATGTCAAAATCTCCATTTTCCAACTTTAGCTCATCATATCTCCCAAACCATGAATCTTTTGGACATGCTTCCTTCTGCAAACATGTAGTTCATGATATCCTCTTTAATTTGATAGTAAGTTTGCCTTCATTGGATCAAAAATGAAAAAGTTATGGATCTTGCAAAATGGCTAGAATTACGGTATTATACACTTAGAAAAATTTCCACCAAAACCCTAATTTAGTCAAACTCTTGATTTTATGTTTCTCCTTGATTCTTCTTGTTCCAAACACATGAAATCACTTGAAAAAATCTATCATGCTCTTGATTGACCTTGAGATCCAAGGTTTTGACCTAATTGAATCATAGTTGACTTTTGTTGACCAGATGAAACCCTAGGACCATTTCCACTGGCTGAGGCTCTTGTGATGACACATAATCCATGTAGAGGAACCTCAAGATGTGTGTTGAGCTTTAGAATCATGTCTTGCCCAAAGAACTAGCCATAAATCTCCTTTGAACCAAAATCCCAATCATTTATCCATGAGATAGGAGGAGGAGAATCAATGCTTGTGTTCTTAATTCAAGTGGTTAAGTGACATGCCTTGATGATGGTGGAGACATAGTGAATTGAGATTGCCACAAAGTAGAGTATTAACCCTTGATTGAGCTTTGTAGATGAAGCTCTTTTCTTGATTGTTGAATAAGATACCTTGATCTCCTGTCTAAGATCAATGTTATGTATAAATGCTAATGCAAAATGGTATGAAACATAAGCCAAGATATAAGAAAAAAGATGGGCAAATTTTGGGGTGCCACGGTCTCCACAACATCTTCAAATTATAATCAGAATCTCTGATTCCTCAATCTTGGACGCCACCTAGGAAAAACAAATAATCCCATAATAATTCGAAATCTGGAATAACATAATTAAAACTGAAAAGTAATAGACAAAGATGTCGAATCATCATGATAGGACATCTCGTCCAGCATCTTGATCTTCAGTTAGTTCTTCATGTTATGACATCTTGTCCAACATCTTGTTGACAAGTTAGTTTTACCAAAATTGATGCCAAATGCAAGGGCTTAGGCTCATCAAATAGGGTGATTAACCCCTTTCCATAAAGGTGTTGTCTTCCTTGGTAGTGTGGAGCTCCTAAAATTTATCCTAGAACTTTGTTGATTACCAAAGAGGGGTTTAGGTCCATAAAGTCCAATCCTTCATTGAAGGTACTTCTTTTGATGGCCTTATTGAATGAGTCATTTGATCTATTTTTCTAGATGCTAGCCATCCTCATTGGCGACCCTTCATCTTTTAATACTTGCACCATTTGTTGGAATTAGGCCCCATAATTTCAGACCTGGGAGTTTGTAGAGGCGGAATATTGTGAGTGTCATGCCATATATGTTCCTAGCAAGTGTTCATTGGCGTGAAGTTCTTAACAGGTCTTCCACTACATTTGAAAGTCAACCTATCTCTTACAAGCAAGGTATAATGAATCTTGTGTTGTTGTTGCAATGCGTTAGGAACACCAAAATCCCACTCCTTTGCATCCCTCACATTTTTCTATGCATTAATCTTCTCGCCCTTGATATAGAATTCGGCCTGCACCACAATTTTTTGTCATGCAAGTTGTCGACATCTGGGCGAGGGACTCGTTGAAATGCTCGATCCTCATACTATTCTAGAAGGCCCCTATGAACATTCCTCAGCGACTCAGAGGATCACTGGAGGACTTAAAGAGGTTTGCAGTTGATACCTTCATGTGCTTTCTCGCTGAAAGTTGGTGGATTAATTTTTTCAATAGATCCTGATGACTAGTAACTGAGAGGCATTATAAGCACATGTACCACCTAATTGTGGAATCCTTGAAGGTGATAGAAAGTATCTTACATTTTAAGAAATCGTTGGCGCCGATGATAGCCATCTAGGTGTTGATCGACGCGACATATTCTTGAGGGTCACTCTTTTTGTCAAAAATTGTAAATGAGGAGGGTTTGAAATTTTCTGGCACTGGCCCCTAATTTCGTAAATAAATAAAAAAGGTCGGGGTCAAGGACTTTCATTTTCTTAGATAGCTCAACCTCCTGCTGCCGATGCTAAAGGTTGACAACATGGTTAGTGAATGGTTTGAATTAATATATTTTAATTTATCTATTAACATAAATGATTATGAAAATATTTTTGAATTTATAGAAATAATTTATGATATATCAATAAGTAGTTTTTAGTTTTTTTTATAATATTTCTATTATAGCTAATAAAAATAACTTGTAGATTACACACAATCAATTTTACTTTATTTTTATATATTTTTATACAAACAACTTGTACATAATCACATATAACATAAATGTATGTTATAAGCACTTTAATTACATGTTTATCAAAAGTAGATATGTAATCTAATCGCTATCACTACAAAGACGGTAAGAAGGGATAACAATTAGATGATTGGATCTAGGCATTGTAAGGCCAAACTCCTCTCTCATGTCCAAGTCACTTGATAACATATGATTTGGCAATTTCCAATCAAAGCAATGCACAAGTTGTGCCACCACTAAACGAATCACAGTTAGACCTAACTGCAATCCAGGGCAGCCCCTCCTACCAGAACCAAATGGTATGAGATGAAAATCACGCCCTCTAACATCTATATTGCTTCCTTCAAATCTCTCTGGCCAAAACTTTTCTGGATCAGTCCAAGCCTTTGGATCTCTCATAATTGACCATGCATTCACAATGATTCTTGATTTTTTAGGTATGAAAAAGTCTCCAACCATGCAATCTTCTATAGATTGGTGTGGTATTAAAAGGGGTGCCACTGGATGGAGCCTAAGGCTTTCTTTTATAACCATGTCCAAATACTCTAACTTGTCCAAATCTGATTCTTCCACTTTCCTCTTCGTACCAACTATAGTTTCTAACTCATTTTGCACTTTTTCCATCACTCTTGAATTTTTTAATAACTCGGAAATTACCCATTCAATTGCTGTTGCAGAAGTATCATTGAACCTGCTAACATATCCTTTGAGAATCAACATGTAAAAGGTTAACAATATGACACAGTTAAAAAAAACCACAACAAAACTATGAGAATAAATATTCTTACCAGCATAATGGCTTTGATATTGGACCGTTCGATACGGTATTCAGATTCTCCAATACCAACAAAACCCAACATGACATCTACAAAATCTTTATTCTTATCATCTTTATTGTCAAAATGAATATGTTCATCAATTATTTTCTCAAAAAAATCATCAAAGATTTTTCCAATTGCCTTCGTCCGTTTCGCGAGCCCTTGTAAATCAAGTTTTCCTATGTAAGGAATATAATCAGCAATATTAGGAGTAGCTGTTAAATGCATTCCCTCTTGTATCACAGCCTTAAACCCTTTCTCATCCAAATCTTTATCCGCATACTTTTTCCCAAACACCATTCTACAACTCATATCAGCGGAGAGTGAAGAAATCTTAGCACTTAAATCAACTTTTGTTCCATCGTTGGATTTTTCTCTTAGAAACCTAATCAATAGGTCAAGCTCGTGCTCCCTCATGGGTCTAAAAGAGTTGATTTTTGCATGGCTCAACAATTCAGACATGCACATTTTTCTCATGTTTCTCCAATAAGAACCATATTCACCAAAACTCATGTTTCTCTGTCCCCAAAAGATGTGTTTTATTGCCTCGGTTGGTGGCCTACTAGCATATAAATGATCATAGGTTTTGAGGAAAAGCTCAGCTGCTTGAGGTGAAGAAACAACTATGGTTGGTACTAAACCTAAACGCAAGTGCATGATGGGTCCATATTTTTGAGATAATTGGTGAAGATCAATATGAGGATTTGGTCCTAATTTGAGAAGGCTACCCAAAATTGGTAAACCTTTTGGACCTGGTGGTAGTTTATTTGTATTTTTCTTGGTTCTCCATAGCCATAGAAAAGCAAGAGAAAGTAGAAAAATAGAAAAATAAATGAAAAGCATGATAGCTATTTTGAACAAGTGGAAATTGCTTTTGCAAAGAGTTATATTTCTCTGGTGCTGAGTATAAAAGAGTTATATAATCTAAGTAATGAAAGCAACTTTTGCATTGTCAAAACACATGCTTTGAATTTAAATATAATATGATTTTTTTTTTTTTATGATAATGTTTAGTTGACTTTGTGGAAGTGAAAATAGAAATGAAAATAATCACTAAGAGGGTGGTAGAGAATTGATCTCTCGTGATTGGCAATTAGAGACAATATTTTCTGTGGACACAACACCGACAACAAAGACACTTTGGACAAATAGCTATTGTAACGGAATTGTATACTTTCACAAAATTTCTCATTCTCTTTCACATTATTATCTTTTATATATATGTCCTAATTATTTTCACTATCTTGACCACCATTTCTTTTTCATTCTTCCATCTTCTTTTATTTTTTTTTAAAAAAGAAATATAAATAAGAGGGTATGAGATTTAAATTTTGTCCAACTCATTCTTATAAAATCGAATTGGATATTATTCTATGTATATATATATATTGATATTTTTTAGTCTCTATTTATAACTAACATGAAATTAGAGTTTTTTTTTTCAATACATCCTCAGATTGATCACTATTAGATTTGGTGTGTAGATATGAACAGCGAATTAAATCTCAAGCATCTAAATTGATACTTCTTGAGAAGTTCCTTGATGCAAGTGGATTATATTTCTTTCATAATCTTCTTATGGAATCCTCAAACCATCCTACTAATAATTGTGTTATATATATATATATATATATATATATATATATATATATATATATATATATATATATATATATATATATATATATATATATATATATATATATATATCGTTTACCGTAATAACACAAGTACTGCAAGTTAATTTTTCAATGTTTATCTTTTTGTCATTCTTGTTAGATTTTGTGTTGGAGAGTCTGCTGTAAAACATGAACAAGAAAAAGATGATGAAGACGGTACGATGAAAGTTGCACAAAATAATTTCAAAGTGTGTGTTTACACTGAGCTTTAGGTTCGATTCGCCCACACAAATTTATGCAAATTAGATGCAAAAGAGTTAACCGGCGAATCGCACATTCACATTAAGCACATCGATTAATGATATTTTACTGAATAAAGTTTCCTCATTTATTCTCTTGCACTAAAAAATAAAGAAATGACTTGGATATAATTTTTGGCACTTGAAACAAGTATTTTTTTATGTATATTTTATACCTAACAAGTATCTCTATTTATAGAAAAATTTGTACCAATTGGTGAGAAGAAACAATGTTTCATATTTGATTCCAACATGATCATTCGCGAACTATTGTATATCAATAACAAATCTTTTCATGAAAAGTTGTGTTATTCTGATGGTTGCACCTTTTGACAACGCACTCAATCATTATAGGATCTCTAGTTCTATTCTAAACAGTTGTAATTTTTGGCCATTTATTTTATTAATTTAACCATTATTATTTATCAATTTAATATTTTGGAAATTTCTCCAACAATTCTAAACTAGGTCATGCAAATTAAATAGATATTTAATTTGTATTTAATCTTTGTAATATACAACTCATAAATAAATTTCTATTGAAATTTTTTGTAAATTCTTGATGTCTAGGAAAAGCTCACGGGCTTTATATTGTCTAAAATTGTGTATTCATGCCAGATGACAATCATTATTATGTAATTTTTACGAGAAAATTTGGATGAAATCTGAAGATTAACGAGCAAAAGACATCACTACTATAAATAATACATGTCATGATAACCTTTCACTTCATCCAACCAAAAAAAGCGGTATAATGGCAAGGTGCGTCATGTTTATTTGTTCTTAAGTAAATACAACATATTTCTTCGGTTTCTAAATATAACCGAGGGGAAAAATAATTTAGGACATGCTTCAAATCACAATAAATGCAGTTTCTATTTTTATTTCTTTAAAAGTGGTGTCTTTCTTTTTATTTCATTTTTTATTTTTAAATTAATGATATATTCCTTCACTTTTTTAATAACTGAGGGATTAGATAATCATATTTTGCTATAAAAACTCGCGTTAATCAGATTTTACCCTAAACTAACTTATATGTAGCCACTCCAAACTTGTACGCACTATTCTTTGGGATGGATGGCAAGAGAGGAAATTCTTCAATGTTCTTCTATCTTGAACAAAACATTTTTTCTGCTCTTGCAATTCATCCCAACATAATGGTGTTGATGTTATTGTTGCATTTTTGGAATAAGCTACATATGTTGTCACTCAAATAAAACACTTCATAATTTATTGTTTTCCTCGATTGACAATATTAAGAAATTGTAAGCAATTGTAGTGCAAAAACTGATTAATGGTAAAAAAAAATTGAAAAGAAAACTAGACATGTTACTTTTAATTTTTTATCATTCACCATTTTTTGCAAGTAGTACATTACCTCGATATTTTTGTAAAATCCAAGGGAACATCCTTATTTTAACAACGCTCAAGATATTACCAACACTATATATCTTGTTCTCTTTCTTGTGAAAACATTTTCCATAAAAACATTTGCTGAAGATAATGAAATCTTTGAACAAAAATTTGGGATGGATTGTTAATGGAGAAAGAAATTCCCATTGTTGGAACACATAACTTATCAATAATTTGATGCATGCAAACTATTGAACTTGAAAAGAATGTGTACAAAGGGTATACAACAAAATTTGGATAACAACAAAGATTTTTTGTTCTCCAAGAATCAGATTTATCAAAATCTGGATTTGTTGTAAACAATGTTTTTTTTTAAAAAAATTAAGCTTATTCCCCTCGATTTTTGACAAGAATCGATAGGTTTGTGGCGCTTAAAAAGACACACATTTTATCTCGGTTTTGAGTCATAACCAAGGGAAAATTTAAGCGTGTTTATTGTGTTTCTTCATCGTCCTTAAACAAATCTTTGTCGTCCATTTAATGAGTATCATCGCTCGAGACATTGTCATTAGTGATACTCATGAAACCTAAAAGACATTATAAAAACATTATGAATATTAAAAATTGATAATGAAAATTTTGACATGAAAATTTTGAAACTTAAAGAAGCTTGAAATTTTTTTATAATGGATTGTAAGACTAAAAAATTATTTAATTTCAAGGTTTATATTCTTAAATAATCATATAATTAAATATTTGTTTTATTTATCTAACCTTTTTTGTTTTATATCAAAAACAAATGAATGGAAAAGGCATAGAGAATATATTGCATCCAATATTTGATCTCCCCCAAGATATACACCATTTGTTCTTCACCAATAGCGATAACGATGAATTAGATGCAAAATTTGTTATATATTTTTACTTTAGTATTTTGTGTAAACTATATAATATTTTGTGTAAATAATTTAGTTTGTAAACAACTTTATTAATATTATGTGCAAACAATGTAATGAGTATTTTAATAAAAAAAGAATGGTGTGATGGTACAAATTGCTAACACATAGGAATTGCTATTTAAAGGCCTTTGTGCTAACTTTTTTAGGGTTTGGAGAGTTATTCTTCCATAGATTTTGATGATGAAGACTTATATCTAGAGCTATTCTTCAATATGTTTCAACTAGGGATCATTGAAACATAGTGGAACTTTTTTCTAGAGCAACCTTTGTGAGAGACACACCACATACTCACCCAAAATCTTAAGGTGATAGGTGTATGAGTTCTCTCACTTATAAATGCTCAAGTCACCATATTTCTATCCAATGTGGGACTATTATCCACCCTACTCACACTTGTTAATACTTAACATTGTTAAATTACAATCCTTGTGGAGATGATTTTTGATCTGCATTATCCATAAACCATAGCATAAAGATGAATCATTTGCTTAACCAAAGTAATAATTTTAAAACATTTCTAAATCAACAGTTACTCATTCATAGGAATCATGGCTTCATTGAGTATCTCAAAATGGTTAGTGTTTAACTCAAAATCAGACAATGCATAAACTATAGCAGCATTTTTCATTTCATCTTAACAGTATCACTAGATATATTATCAGTTATGGATCATTAAGTTCTTTCTTTTGCTTGTAACATGGTTGCGCTTATAAAAAATATTGGTTTTTCTTTGGATTTGAGAGCCTAAAGATAAGAGAGTATAAATTATTTCTTTCCAAAGTCTCTTTCATTACGTCCACTTTTTACAACCATTTTCTTGTGGTACTTTTTCTTGTGTATGCTAGACTTTTAATTTTTGAATTGTTTATGTCAAAGCATTTTCTTTTTCTTTCATTACACCAATAATACTAGAATTTTCTTTTTCAAAAAGTTTCCTTTTTCCTTTCATTTTCCCCCAAACTTTTAATTTTGATATACCATTGCTTTTACGTGCTCTCCTATCTTTGTGATAAGGTAGTGAACATTAATTTTCTTTTTTAAAATCGGCTAAAGGATGACATTTGAAAAGTATAAAAAAATTCATTTTAAGGCCCAAAAGGGTTTGACAAGGGATTCACACCCTCACAAGATATGATTTTTAGGTAAAGTAGTTTTTCACTCAATAACAAATATTGCCTTGATCGTATCCATGACATTCCAACATATCAAGTAATAGCAAGGCAAGTGTAAAGTCTACATAGTTAGCATGCATGTTTAATCTAATTATTTATGTAAAACATGAGGTTTCACGCATCTCACTTGGGTAGACTTGTGATTCCTCATTTATTTTAACATGTTTTCAATAAATAGTAGAAAAATAAAACTTTGAATAAAGTAAATGTTGTTTATAGTGGATTGGTCCTTTGGATTGGCTACATTTAGCACCAAAAAAAACTTGGAGAAGTATCCAAGTATTCAAGATTGATATATCTTGCTAAATTTGTATGGAACTACAAAAGGGACACATGTTGGGTGCGATGCTGCACCATGTTCGTACGGCATCTAGGCCTTGTGCAACAGGAACCAGACTGCTACATTTTGGAATATGTTTTGTAGAAGATTTTCTAAATATT